TTTTTTTAACAATGTGAATACAAACACATATGAAATAATACCTTAAATCATAATTTTTGATATAAAAACGTTGTAATAAGTTCATATGACGCTTTTGAGTGTTTTAATAAGTTTTTTATAACACTTATAATACAAAGCATCCCACTAGCAATTTTATAGGACTCTATTTGAACAAGTGTTCTATGAAAAAAATGAGTTTATATGATACTTTCTCAAAAGTGTCATATAAAATTGTTTATGTGACGTTTTGTATTAAAAGTGTCCTTAAATGTATTAAAAATGTCCTAGAAAAGTGTCACATTGTATTAAAAGTGTCCTAAAAGAGTTGTAACACACTCAAAAGTGTCCTATAAACTTATTACAACACCTTTAAATATGACGTTTTATATTCTGGTCCCATAAATGAAGTATAATAAGGTAGTTTGAATTTTGTTATAGTGTAAATAATAAAAATTTAATGAGTTGTAAATGGTAATGATCAAATTACTAATGTGTCTTTTTAGTATTATTGTGGAACATTGCGATAACCGTTAGATTACATCAAGTTGATGGATTATATCGCTTTTCATAGATCTTACAATATATAACCTTCTTATTTGATTATGTTTATATATATTTGTAATCGGTGTGGGAATAAAATTTATGATAAGAATGGTGAGAACACTTCTAAGTTTTTGGAAGAGTTAACTTTTGATAAACATCATCTACATTCACCTAACTTATTCACCTACCTTCGACTTACTTCAACCACCTTCATCTACCTTTATCTGTACTGTTAGTCATTTTCACGAACTTTTACATAAATTTGATCTCTTTCACATGCATGAATTTGTTGAATTTAAGGTCATGATGATTAATATAGGTAACTGAAGGTAGTTAAAAAAAGAGTATGGTATATGAAAGTTTTGTTCTCGCGTTCTCACGTTAACACTTATTCTCATTGGAACCCAACCCTCCATATATATATATATATATATATATATATACACATACACACACACACACATACATACATATATAAGGTTCAAACGAGAACACATATGATTTACGCAAATATGAGAACATATATCATTTTGTTTTAGAAGAATTTGGGGTGTAGTAATAAAAGTATCAAATAAATATTTGCTATTTTAGGAATATCA